TGTGTGTCACAGATGATATAATGCATGAATATAGCCAATCTAATGCTATCACCCACAAATGAGTCAGTCATCAATAAATTTGAAAATACAGAGAAATAGTGTCAATAGAGCTATCACATTTTGTGCAGCCTTTGCTGGTTTTACCAATCAAAGTGAGTCACCATTCTTTCCAGGCATCCCATCAATTTGTCATTTATGCATACATACATCTTGCTTAATTTCCTCATCTGACACAGCATGGAAAGAAAAAGGTTTACTCATTAAAATACTCAACAATATATTGAGCAATAATTACCATTCTCCAAATGGAATACTTCCCCAGAGTATGCTTAGAAATACTTTCTTTTTTTACCAGGTCTTTTTTAATAGCTTCAATGTGAAAATGAGATATGAGACAAAACTTCTCGTGGTGGACTCCATTGGCTTGCTCATCATCACAATTGCTCTTGATTATAATTTATTTGCTTTCATACTATGTTTTTGGCAAATAAATTTCTAAAGTTCACATATCCTACTTATTTCTCAACAACAATCTTGGCTTAGTAGTAGCTGAAAAAACAAATGTATTGTTTTCAACATCACCCTGTACCTAGAAAACACCCAGCATATGATGAATTCATTAGGTAGTACTGCATTCTAATTAATTTTGCATATTCCATCAAGAGGAATTACAGTACAACTCCTTGAAGGCTTTGCAAAAGAATTGGGCCAACAGGTTTTGGAATATATGACTTCATGCTTGAAGCCCAATGGAAACAAGAGTAAGCTATAACTTACTCTAATGTGGATATGCATGAATACACAGATCAAGGTCTTCTATACCAAATGGGGGCCAACATACAGAACAAAATGGATACTTCAAAGAGCAATGCAACCAACATGTACCTCTGCATTTTCAACAACTGCTTCCATAAGTACATTAAAACTAATAAAAGAAAATGTTAACAAATGAAAAAAGTTTTTCATTTGCATTCATGCATCTAATGTGAACCATCAAGTCCAATCATACTGACTACCATGTAACACATGGTCTTCCATTCTCAAGAGCAGGGATTGGGAACCAATGGCTCACGAGCTGAAAAGTTTGGCTCATCAAGTCATGGCTGAAAATCATGGTTGTTTCTCATTTTTCTCATGTATCAAAGAATGCATATGTCTGTTGCCAACTCCAGGAAAAATTATGTTGGTCTGAAAATCTTTCGCTCACAAGCACTTAGCTCAATCTCAATATGGGTCACGTGGCCAAAAAGGTTCCCGACCCCTGCTCTAGAGGATTATTCTCTAGGCTAACTATCAAGAATGCCTGCAACCCTTAGGTTCAGTTTCTTGATTATTCCCAATCAAGTGTGCACTAATGAGATTCTAGACAACATACTAGCCTATCATGCCATGTCCAATAAATGAGCAAAAAGTTATGATAAAATAATTAGACATAACTTCACTTACTATTTATGTATAGTGTTAATTTGGTGAGGACAGCAGGAATGTTGATGTGGGGATTCTCCATGGGAGTCTCTAATTCCTCATCAAAAGGAATGCCCAGATCTTGAAGGAGCAATTCATCCATGATGAAGAGGGGTGGTACCCTCAACATCACAGAAAACAGATGTGACATCTCCAATGTGTAGAGGTTATATCACACTCCCTGAAAGGTGGTAAAAAGATCATTAATGGAAGTATTGTTTCGAAATGAATGGGTGACGGAAAAGCAAAAAATTTGTATCTTAGCAACCATGTATCTTTGAATGAACAATAACGCAACATATATGGGCAAGTGATGCATATTCCAGTCATAATTTGATATCAAGTCCACTGATGCAAAATGAGCCAACCCCAAAGTGAGGTTGAATGAAGTAAAAAAAGGCATGATTTAAAACCAGGCTCCTGTTGCAGAGATTATATTCATGTATCAGTATTGAAAGCAGATTTGAGAAGCAATTAATCAACAATGTTTGTGATGTTACTATCATTAACTTCTTCAGACTCAAGCAGCATGTAAACAGCTTTTGTCTTTCTCAGGTCTGAGGAAATTAAAGTGTATTCCACTTTCTTTGATCTATGGCCCTAACATGACTCATGTTCATCTTCAGGTAGATTCTTGAGAAACATGTTAGGAGGATGTTTTCCTCCTGGTTGGTGCCTAATAGGAATCCAAACTCAGGATGAAACAGAAATTAACTAAATCTTTATAGAACATCATAAAAAAAACCTGTCCAGCCTCTTTTGAAGCACGGCATTTGTCACAATACTCAATTCCTCATTGGGAGAAGTACTTATTTGTACCTGACATCTTTGCTGCTGCCAAATGTCACTTAACTTCATCAGATCTTCCCTGGTCACTTGGACTGCTGTTTCTTCCTCCAGCACATTACCTAAACTCTTATCACAGATCCCTGGCAACAGGAGTATGATTTTTTTAATTACTATTTTAAGTAATTAAAAAAAAGTGGGTTAATCTGGAGGCCTGCCCTTTGGTGTTTTGGAATTGAGTTAATAAGGACCAGTACTCTTGGTATAACATTTTCTATGCTTAAAACCAGACCAAGAAAGCGAAGTTCCAACACAGAGTTGCAGAGCACTCCATATTTAAACCACACAGAAAGCACATTTGTTCTTTACTCAACATCCCATTAGACACTATGAAAGGGAAAAACAAAAAATAAAAGCATTGTAATATATTAAAAACTGATAAGGGATTATTACAAAAACAAAACCTATTACAAAAATTAAAATGAGATAAAGACCAGTGAATAACTGGAACAGGAAACTTATTACCAGTCAAGCCTGTAGGATATGTGACTAAGAGTAGTTGTAGAAATATGTTCATGAAGCATTTTTGCCATGACCTATACAAACCTTCAAAATTGCACATCCTTAACTTCCCTTATTAGCTCTTAGTCCTCAGAAATTGCTTTCATAAATCAGAGCTGTCATGCATTTATTCACTTTTTACTTGACAGAGCTGGAGGAAACCATATTGGGAAAAACAAAGGCAAGAGCTCTACACTTCCAAGTCTCTCCCATATCCAGGACTTGTAGAAAGAACTCTAGCATTCTAAAATTGTTTCCACAAGTCCTAGATATGTAGAAAGAACTCTAGCATTCTAAAATTGTTTCCACAAGTCCTAGATATGGGAGAGTCTAGCTAGTCACCTGAATGTGCTCACTGCATCCCTTCTGAATGATAATACCCAATCCTGTGTCTTAATCAGCTACGACTTTCAAAAGCATTACACGTACCTCCACTTCTGTGACAAAATATGTTCCCCTGAATCACCATCTGAAACAAAAAAAAAAAAAATAAACTGTGGTATTCAACCAAGACTGCAACAGAGCGAAATCCAATTAGCAATAATTTAACTCACAAAAGTAACGATTCCAGTTTCTTCCAAACTATGCATCACAGTTCCATGTCTGACTTTCTTGCCTCAAGGCTATATTCCATATATATGCTTAAGAATTTGTCCTCTCATGGATTACAATGCCATTCTATGCCCAACTCTTTTTCGAGCAGAATGTAACTTTGATGCATGAGATAGGACATGTTCCCCTCATCCAATAGAAGTGAAGCACAAAATTTCTCCCCCTTCCATACTGAGAGAATCAAACAAGGATAAGTTAGAGCAAACCATGCAACTTCCTTGACATTAAATAACTTAGAAGTCCATCTTATGCATCCTGCCCAAAAATTTTACATGGCAGGATTCTTGGATGGCACATTAGTAAAAGACTTTCTAAAAGCCAAGCATCTGCTTCTTAAGCAGAAGGATGAATGTCATCCTGGCTGACTTGCTGTAGCATAGTTATTCCCAAAAGAAGCATGAAACCCATCAAAGGAGCTCTTCATTCTTTACATTAGTCTCCTGTCATGCATACTAAAAGTAGCAGGTTATAGTAACTTATTACATTTTATGATCATTTCAGTTGTAGTGACTTACTTTGCAAGGGTTAGTATCAGAACAGGTACCTAATTCCTATTTCAAGGAAAGTCAGGGGTATTTCATGGTGTCACAGCAATGAAATACTGCCATGAAATTACAATTAAAAGTTTAGATGAAAGTGACCTGCATTGCATTACTACATTCATCATTACCATAATAAAAACCTATTGAAAAGCTGAAAATACTGTGCATCAACTATAGATTGTAGAAAACTCTCACCATCCAGCACTACTATGGTACAGCTTGTGATCACAAGAACTTGTAATTGTAATAACTTTGTTGAAATGCCTATGAAGAATGTATGAAACATGAATCTTCCTTTTTCAGAAAATACCATAAAAGGAATTATTTTTCTCCATTCAAGTTGCTCAAAGTAGTTGGTAGCCTTTTTCCTCAGACTCATTTCTTTTGACACCTCAACACTATAAATGGTGATAATTCAGAACTGTGCACCTGACTTTTGACTAGACCACTTCTCCCCCACTGCAAAGAAATTACTATAGACAAATACATCTGCACTAGGTCTGCAACAGTCTACACACTCAATCAAGTGTTAGGAGTGGGATTAGTCAGTTGGTACAAAAAAAAAGCCCAAGTAATTTTTATATGGAATTTACAAGCTAACAAGTTCATATTAACAAGTAATTACCTTATCATACAAGTTCTTGCAATTTCTGTTTCATGGCACTCCCTAGTAGAATGAATGAGTGCACATGGTTTTGGAGTTGTTGTCGCCTATCTACTGTAATCAATATATGAGCGTTAATAGCAACTACAGCAGTTGGAATGCCATAGATGGAGTCACTTTAAAAACAAAATGCATATCAGCAATACTGTGGTATTGTTCACCCTTTCCTAATCAGCAGAGTGCTACAGTAGTTTGCTGGAATTGCAAACGAACATTGCTGTTCCTTGAAACTGTTCAAATGTGAATAGTTAACAACACAAACTCCGCAAATCTGGCTTCTTTGGACAAAAAATTTTATCAAAATTGAGTAGTGATTCAGAGTCAAAGGTCACTCTACCAAAATGCACAGGCATCTCTTTCCATTTGTGAATCACCAGACCACATGATACAGGGCACAGTAACTTTGAGGGTGCTAAGTCTTTTGCTCCTTCACATGCAATTTTTGTATGCTGTAGCTCCATAAAACAGGGGTAAAAATATATATTTTAAATTCTGCAAAATTGTCTTTCTGCTTTTAATTACTAGTTACAATTTGTATTCCGATGAAAAGCAAATTTGTAAAACGCACTAGTAATGTACTTGTAACATTTAATATTAGTACAATCTATAAAACTGAACCCAGCCACTGATTTGAAAATCTTGAGATATCCCTTGAATCCAATTCAGAATGCAGAACCACTTACAGCATTAAAAAAATAAGTTTAATTATCAAATACAAGACCTTACATGAAAGTTTCCATGAATGCTGACATAATGAAAAGGATCACAGGTACTTTCGCCACTTGGAATGATCAAGGGATGAGAAGTCATCCATCTTGGCAATGCTTTTGAGATACTGTGACATATGGAGAAGAACTCTGTCTTTGTGGCGATTAAGATGAGCTTCTCGAAATGGTGGAATCTTGAGTCCATTCTGAGGATTCATGAGGAAGTTCCTACTACAATCATCCAAGATGATGGTGTTAGATGGTTTGTACTGTGGATACTTGCCCCAAATGACACCAAGGGGCTTGACCTAAAGAAGAAGCCAAGGAGATTGTGAACATTTTCCAGAGACTAAAGCATCACACCTTTGGATGACTGGTTGAGACTCACATTGACAAATCCATGTTTCTCAGACATGACTGATATCATGGCCAGGTCATCCATGAAACAGACTATCTTATAGCTGGAATTTGAGGAGACTTTCAAGAGTTTCATCTTCTCTTCAACCCACTTCATGCTTGTTGCTGACCAGATCACAATATCATAATCCTACATCAAGGATATGCCATATTAATACAATTTTGTTTCACAAAACTGAACCCTGTGATAATGAAGATAAAAAATTGCAATGGGGTATTTTATCAAACGCTCAGGCAACTTCACCAACCTCATAGGCAGAAGTGAGAAATTCATGCAGGTAGGGCCTCATGAGTTCTGCTCCAGATTCAGCACTGGAACGGTGATCAAAGAGAGTGTAGTCAATGTCCAAAACTAGAAGCTTCTTTCCTTTCCTTGGTTCATTCAACTGATTTATTTTGTATTCACGAATCCGCCTCTCTACCTGTGGAAGATAAGAATTCAATTCCATGTGAAAGTCTTTGCAAGATTTGACTAAAACAAATCCTGAAGGAATGGTTTTCAAGTTTTCCAGTGGTATTCCAGGAATCTGATATTTTGCTATTTGTAACGCAAGAAGAAGAACCACACATTTTTTGTCACCCTTTTTTAACAAAAATGAAAACAAACGAAAACAAATAAACGGTAAAATAATTCGGTCAGCAGTCAAGCTGGCTGCTTGAGTGAATCCATCCATAGATGATATATATTATGTGTGATTCTTACCCTAAAAATCCCATATCTTTCCTTTATGGGAAGAAATCTTTTTTTTTTTACTTTGCTGCCTTTCTTTTCAGTTCCAGGGTAACAAATAAGCTATTCTGGAACAGAAAAATAATAATTCTCAGCATTCTGCTCATGAATGTAAGCCATAAATTGAAAAAATTAGGGCAGAAATGGAGGTGTTAACATCCTCCAGACTTCCTGTGACTTTTATCCAAATTTGTCATCACTCATCAATTTTTAGGTATGACATCAGACAAGCAGTAGTATCCCTTCTTTAGACCTCTACAGCAATGAAGTATTTCAATACACCTAACTTCAACAATGATCCAACAAAGCAGCAAATGTGACACTTTCCAGATTTTTCAGAAAGGCGAGAATTTGTCTATTTCATGGACTGCAAAATGAAACTTCAGGGATGTTCAACTGAAGAAGCTGGAGTCTCAAGAAGCTGGAGTCTCAGCTCTCTAGTGAAAAAGCACACCCTTCTTTAGCTTGCAAAAAAATGCATATTTTTGCTCAAGAAATTAATATAGCATTTTCTCCATCTTATCACATCACTGATGAAAGAGGTAATCAAAGAATGCCTAAAAGTGGACAGTTCACTCAACAGTGAAATCTAAATTTAGCATAACTTGATCTGGACTAATTTTTTTTGTTAAATGTATTAAAAACAAAAAAATTTAATTAATTCAACCTTGCAGAGGAATTCCTGACGATCCTTGACATCAATTTTCTCTTCTTTGATATCAAAATCATCTTCAACCACTGGGAGATCAGATGGCTTCTCTATTGCACTGGAGATTGTCTCTTCACGGGAACCAACCATCATAACCTTGAATCCTGCTTTGAGGTCCAACTGGCCTAACTGTGTGGCATCTGGGGCAGGCCTTCCTGGGCACAAAATATTAGGCAAACCTAATGTTATCCCTTTTCAGCTGTAACTTTCCATATTCGAACTGTCTTACCTTTGCATTTGAGATTCAGAAGCTTCTGTCGATGAGGGAGAACCTGTGTTTCCTTAGCTATAGCCTCTTTTAAATCAAAAACTGTGTGAGATTCTTGCAGGCCATCAATCTCATATTCATTTCCAGCCCATTTCACACAAAACTGAGGCATTATTCTTCACTTGGAGATGATAAAAACTTTAGAAAGGCATAATGCAACTGGCACACAGTGAATCAACCAAACCAGTGATTTGAGTGAACACACAATCTGTTCATATATCCTCCATCTCTGTTACAATTGCTGCTGGTGTCATGATGGTTTTATGGTTGAAAAGAGGGTTCTTACTGAATATTTATTGAAATTCATGAATTTCCTTGAAATTCTTCACTGAATATTGGAATCAAAAAATCATTGCGGTCACTGAGAACTAAACTTCTTTCTTTTTTTTTAACCCCTGAAGATGCCTTTATCATGTGTTCATCAGCTGGGTATAAAAAAAAAAGAAGTTCCATTACCATCCTATGAGAAAATGAAGTAGTATGTACCCCATGTAGGTTCTTCCAGAAGGGATTCCATCACGGTTAGTAGAAGTTTCACTTAAAATTTTTCACTAATGGATTTCCTGGTAATTTTGGGCCAAATCCTGGTTCAGAAAAGAATATTTTAGAAACAGAACCAACCAAACTTCTAGAATTTCAAACCAAATAGAATATCCTAAATCTTGAATGGAATGATATTCTTTAAAACTTTATATTGAATCAGAATTTCCTACTCTTTTTTTTTTTTTTTTAACTCCCAGCATCCATGAAGTCAAAATCTTGCTTTCCTGGATCAATAGCATATACAGGGTGGTCCATTTAACTCTGACACATTTGTTTATGCAATAAAATGGGGCTGAAATAAGTTATACTAAAGTTTATTACAGGAAAATGAAGTGCAAATCTAGGAGATTCTTAAGCCAATCATCATAGTTCTATTTTTTTTAAATTACACTCTTTAAATGTTGTCCTTCACAATTGATGCATTCTCTGCATTGAGCTTACATGTTCATAACAGTCCTGAGTGTTTCTTCATCAATTGCAGTGATAGCCTCAGTAATTTTGCATTTTAAGTTCATCTCTATTCCTGGGATGTCCTGTAAACATCCCCCAAAGAAAGAAATCAGGTGGGGACAGATTGGGTGATCTGGATAGCCACTTCACAGTGCTTAGCTGAGAAATTATTCTTTCCCTGAACTCTTGCTGTAAAACAAACCTAACAACTCTGACAGTGTGGCAAGTTGCTCCATCTTGTTGGAATCAGGTATTCATTCCTCAACATTGCAATTAAAAAATGAAAAGCATATGGTTAACAAAAAGCAAATGGTTTCATTACAAGATGGGGCAACCTGCCACACTGCCAGAATTGTTATGTATGTTTTACAGCAAGAGTTCAGGGAAAGAATAATCAAATCAATAAAAAATCAAAAGAACAAATAATTTATCAGCTAAGCACTGTGAAGTGGCTATCCAGATCACCCAATCTGTCCCCACCTGATTTCTTTCTTTGGGGGATGTTTACAAGACACATCCCAGGAATAGAGATGAACTTAAAAGCATAATTACTGAGGCTATCAAAAAAAAAAAAATTGAAAAAGTCTAGCATCCAAAGGCAATAAGCAGGAACAAGCTAGAAGATTCATATCTTTGTACCCCCACATCTGAATGTCTCATTAAATGTGTATTACTCATAAAACATATTTTGTACCAAGAAAGAGTTATGGCAAGAAGAACCTCTAGCAACAGATATTTTTCCCTCTTCAATTTGCAGAGAGTGGTGGTGCATGTGCTTGCGGGACCATTCTGGCTCCCTCCCACCTGGTAAACCAGATTACTAATATTAAACCATCATCTTAGAATAAAAACATCTTTATTGTTCAAGAAAACAAGAATAGTTCAGCTAAGAACCAAAGTCTAAAGCACAACTATTGTTCATTCAATGGAGAAAAATGCAGAGGACAGTCCTCTCTAAACAGCACCCATCAGACCACCAGATGTGGTACTGAGGAGACACTCAAGAAAGGATACTGTATACTCATGAGATTTATGATTCAAGTCCTCAAACAGCCCAAAAAAAGTCACCAGGAATGATAGTCTTCCACAGGAGACTTCTGAAAATATGTACTACAAGCATAATTCACATCCTCACATATGAAAATTCTTTTCTTGCAACTGAGCATGACATGAGTGATTTATGCACAAAATATGGGCAGTGATGGTGGGTGAAAAGTAGAAAACATTTGCACATTTGTGTTACTCCTTCAAAAAGTTGCCAGAAGCATGATATGGTCCAGCCACAAGTCAACTGGCCGATATGGATGAGAAAAAAAGTTACAAGCTTCAGAATGGGAAATTTGTCATACATGATTTTGCTTCACCATATTAATGTATGCACGAAGTGATTCCAAACACAATGAGGACATTATTGTTCATTATATATAGCCTGTGCAAGCCATCACCTCCAGCTGAACAATGCATACATGCTATTTAAGTTTCTTCAAGCTTTGAGATTCCTCTTTTGTTGTACTCCCTTTTCATGACAAGAAAATCAGTCTAAACAAAAACTTCCAAAGCATGGCAGACTATTTCTTGCTATCTCTTGCTTTGCCAACACTGATAAACTGGTTCAGCTCTACTGATTTGATTCCAGTATTCTAATATTCAGAAAAACATTGAAACTACAGAAGAAAGCAGAAAATTCTCGTTCTCACAGCAACACAGCACACCTGGGCAATTCAAATACTTATCATCCACATTCACCTTCCAACAAATTTGATTGAGCAAATAAATCTTTGAAACTCTGAGTCCCTGGAAACCCATGTCAATGGTCAAAAACTCATTCTGCTGTGAGTAAAATACTGAAAAGAATATTAATTGCAATCAAACATGAAGGAAATCACAAAAGCACAATGTCAATGGAACAATGGATTGTTCCCAATAATCCCTTTCCATCTGGAAAACTAGACCATTCCTCCTGTTAAACATTATCATCTTTCACAAGCATTTCTCCCACCTAGAGAGGATTCTGCTGCTGATAAAACTTCACTGAAAACATAAGATGGATAGAAAACTGGCTAGAAAATGTGATGGCATAAATAATGGTAATATTTTTAAGCATGAGAATAAGAGATTAACAGTGAGAGACCTACAAAACTTTCTCACCATACAAATGGTAGGATGTATATGAACAGGAAAAATGACTGAATTATTTGTTGATTAATAAAAATCTAGGTTAGAACTGAGATACCTGGGTCCATGAAATGGGCAGGATAATGCCAAATTGCTTAAGCTTCACAAAATGGGAACCCCAAACAAAGCATTTTCATTTCCCTGAACAAATATTTCCTGAAATCCTTTGTTCTTCTTTGTTCTTACTCATATGTCTCCACTTTTTGTATATGAAATTGGAGCTTATATCAGGACAGGCAGTAGCACAAATGTACTACATTGTATTCACTGAATCTTTGCATTTGCAAAATTCCCTGTTTTGCTGGTAGTGTTGCTAATGTTGTTTCTTTGCTCTTCAATATACCTTCCATCTTGACAATAACTATCTGCCATCAAGAACAGTGAGCAAAATGGTCAGGGAGCTAATATAATACATTCCCAAACACCCAGTCAATGTACAAATAATCAATGAAAGATCATGGAAAAGGGAGCACAAGGGGGGGAAAAATAGAACACAACAAGATTCTCAACTTGAGGCTCCAGAGTGGTAAGGATTGTGGGAGAAAGCTCCAAATGAAGTAGATACACCTGAACTTTCTCAGACATGTCCAACAGAAATAGCAACAGAACTATTGGAGTTTGCTTTCATGTGGTATTCATAGAGCATCAGAAATTTGGGAGAGAAACTTATGATGTGCAAACAAAGTAGGTATGATGTGAGGGAAAGTTCAGAATGAAATGAAGAAATATTCATATTTCTCTTGTAGACACATTTTTCTGGTTGTAAGCAAGGAGTTTTTATAGAGAAAATGCTTAAGGAAGCAAGATGGATTACTCATCAAACAAGCTGTGCCTCAAGAGGCCTCATGAGAACCTAATCCATGCATCCCAAGCTTTCTTCCTTGTTTGAAGCAGTGACAAGTAAAGCATGTGTCTGGTTCTCAGCTGGATGAGGGCAGTCAAACCATTCCACCTCTTAAGGACCCATGATAAGGATGCATCAACTGATGCAACATGATGATGGCCTTGCTGATGTAGTTTCATCTACTCTGTTGTACTGCGGGGATCAGACTTTTTCAGGTACATGCCATTTAAAATAGCAATATTGAAAATGGCTTTACTCACAAATGATGAGTGTTAGAACTTCTTTCACAAATCACAAGCAGCTACATGGAAGCCTATAAAGGAGAAGGCTCCACTTGAATGAAACATATGAACCCCAAGTGCTTAAAACATCTCTTCTATCACATTCCAGGAAAAAACTGTCTTCCTTCACAATACAGCCCTCCCAGAAGACCAGTTCTGATCTGGGATTTGGCATCACTTCCTTCAAATGCATTGAAAGCCTGTGTCTATACATGACACTGAGTATTGTGGAACAAGATGAAGGAAACAAAAGTCATCACTTGCAGGAAGAACAATGAGCTCAATATGCTTGTGATGCCTCTTTATATTCAGATCCTTCGAGATTGAAGAACTCTTCCAGCTTCCATTGCAGTGTTTCAAATGTAGGCCTGCGGAGAGGATCCTTATGCCAGCATTCAAGCATGATTTCATACAGTGTAGAAGGGCATCCAGGTGGAGCAGGCATTCTGTATCCATGTTCCACTTGATGTAAAACTTCAGCATTGGTCATTCCTGATGGGAACAAATAAGATATAATCATACTACATGTCAAGTTCTTTGTCAACATTAATAAAAAGCAGTGAAGAAAAAAAAATCTCAGACACCCCTAAAGTTAGTTCTGTCAAAGGCCATGAATTCTAGTATACCCACTTTTTCCTTATCATATTAAAAAAAAAAGCTCATGGAGTAATTCTAAAGCAGGGATGACCAAAGTTAATGAGCAAGAATATATAAGCCAGATAATGTCCATGACATTCAGCAAGGGCGTTCAATATGTCCAGAGTACGCTTCTGAGGCCTAAATGCACAAATCTCATTTAGAGGAGATGAAAGGGCCTTTAAGCTAGAGCTCTTTTTCTCCCACAGGAGTTCATGTATTCTTAAAGGAC